GAAACATTTTTTCCTCAAATAAAGTATCCCCGCACCAGCCTCAATCAGAACAGCCATTCACATAGCGCTGGTAGCTCTGTATGAGAAGAACAGAGAGCGGGGCTCCTCAGTAACAGGCCTATGGTTTTTGCTGTCATAACCCTGTAATTCTTCGATAATGCCATTTATGCTCTAAAGAAAGAAAGTTAAGATAAAAATGACCATTTTAGGTTTCTGGAGGAAAAGAACAGAGCATTTGATTGTACGCGGTGGTGTCGATGTAAATGTAATGTTTTGGAGACTCCATCTCCCGTAAACCACAAAGCAAATAACCCCCTTATATATTCCCTAACAGTTTTTTTGTAGTGTCAAGAGGCAACCTTTGCGTTGCACAAAATATCAATATCTATTTATATATAATGTATATATTGATCTGAGAAGATACAGCAATTACAACATCTGATATTTTAAATTACCTGCTCACTTTCCACTACTCTCTAGAGCCGCTCTAGCCATATCTACGACGTCGGTGCTCTTTTCGTCTACATCCGACTTACTTACTACCTCCGGGGCAAAGGTTATTGCCGTCTGTGTACACACGTGTGTTTCAGTGCTGTATAGCGCGAGTGTTCTGCTTTCGTCTCCTGTGTCAGTTTTCGTAGTATAGAATGACGGTAGGTTATATGTAAGAAAGCCAGCAGTGATGTCTGCGAAGCGGAAGGATATTTCCTCCTCAAGCAGTGAGGCTGAAGTTGATTTAGAAGGTGAAGCTGATGTTCAGATTCGGAAGACCGGCAATGCGTCGGCCCATCGACGGCAGCGGCGAACACATGTGCCGAGTAGGTATTTGTTAGGTTTTAGAAATTTCTGCACTTTTTTTAAACAACCCCAAGGCCGCATAAATGCGTTTGTCGTATTGATTGCAGCTGGGTCCTTAGAACCTCTGGGAGACTGCATAATCAGTCAATGTTTATTTATCAAATGCCCAACAATACAGCGTGCACTTAAAACGGGGATTAAATACAGATCACAACGGACTCGTTCATTACTGCTGCTGCTGTATATGTGGTCTGCCAGCAACTGTGATAGTTTATTGGTGGGTAGCGACATGAATGCTTTTTCAAAACCAAGTATTACAAACGGCAAATTGAGAGGTTTCGTTACAAACAGTGCTGCTTGTCATTTTGTAAACGCGGTAGGGAAAGGCTCGTTTCCCAGATGGCGGTCCTGGAGGAACCTATTCCCAATTTCTTATCTGTGCACTGCAGAGACGAGCGAGAAGTACCAGTGTCCTGCGGACTTCGTCCCCTGTGCCTACAGAGCCTGCGAGGGTACCAGTCTGGAGAGGCTGACTGACGGCGGCTCGGAGCTGTGGCTTATCAAATCGCCGGCCAGCTTCAACCCGGACAGGTCGGTTCGGACTGGGGAGATGGTGGTTCTGTTCAACGAGGTGTCCTCTGGGTCTGAGGCTGAATGAGGCCGAAACTGAATATAATTGTGTCTAGAGATGGTTGCTTCTCCGTTTACACCTTTCGATTGAAATGGGGTGATTTATTTTTTTGTGATGACATGGTGTGCCATATCCTATCCTGTATTTTTTTCATATGTATCTGTAATATTAGTGATTTTTAAAAGGGATTATTCCTCACGCATGCATCTTCCACATATCTCTTTCACATGCCAGTTATATTGGCATAAACTCATTTTTTTTGTAGTTTAATGCTAAAATGTGGATCCATGGGTGATTAGAGAACTGCTACTAGTCTGTGACTAATGAAATCATGTCAAAATGCTTTTATGAAATGTGTAGGATTGACTGAATATATCTGTATATTTCTTTGTTTAAGAGTTTTTTTATGTGCCTCATAGCTGTCAATGGCAGTGTTGGTTTTACAGAATAGCCAGTATTTGTTTGTCATTGGCAATAATGAAGTGTTTGCCCATTCGATGTGCAGTCATACAGGAAGACCAATAGCTTAATTTATTACCAGGTCATAACCCTTTACACCAGATTTAACCAGCTTGTCAAAAATCTTTATTTTTACTGATTTGCAGGTGGGTTTTCCTCGGAGTTGTTCCATTTGATTTTTATACCAGTATTGAAGTGAAACTTTGCTCATTGGCATTTAGTTTTGTGCCAGTTTACCTCGAGGTTTCGTAGTGCAACTAGATTGTTGGTTCTTCTAAAAAAAAAAATGTACCCCGAGCTCTTAAACTCCCAAACATTTACAAAGAAGGACTTGCTGAGCTTTTTAGAGCACTACATCCTTTCTGCGGAACATTGTATATACAGTGGTCCTCAGTTCCTGTGTTATTTTATTTGTACAGTGTCTTGCAAACTACAAACTGATAACTTGCTGTAGGGGGTCATGAAGCCCATCGCAGTGCACAAGGTGTTGATCAGACTCCTTACAAAGGGGTATTATGTAATCCAGCCTTGCTCCTGATACCCATGGCTCTCAGGCTCCTATGGCTATGAAAATCGTTTTGAATTTTGTTAAGAGCACCTCTTGGGTTTGAAAGCAAGGAGTGGATCTCTGATCACCCCTTGTACTGTGATGTTCCCTTTCCGTCAGTCTGGCAGTGTTCCAGAGGCCATGGAAAGGGAAGCTGTGTTCCTCCCGGAGAAAGAGGTCCCACTCTCACGCCTTGCTGTCCTGCCTTCTGGCGCTTTAATGAGCTGCGGAACCTTCTGTTTTATTTTTCAGCTTTAACGGTTCCAAGATCCCGGTGGTTGGTATGAAGACACGGACGTCGCAAAATGGCAGCGGCCAGCAGGTCTACAACATCCTCAGCACGCCCGGGGGGCCCGGCGGCATGCGCCTGCTGACGACAGGCCGGGAAACGGACAGGGTGCTGTGCGCCCCAGCTTTCGAGGGCTACATCAACATCTGCGAGAGTTTCGGGGACCTGAACAGCAGCCAGGAGCCCAAGGCCATTCCAGCCAACCCCGCGCCCCGGATCCCCGAAGGCCTGAAGCAGAGGTTCCAGCCTTTTGGGGGTGCAGCTCCGTCCCGGGCGGATCGGGAGCCCTGCGCCTCTCCCCCGCTGGCCAGGAGGATCAAGCTGGAGCCGCCCGAGGCAGAGGAGGGCGATCGGAGGAGGAAGAAGAAGAAGAAGAGAGACAAACACCAGGAGCGGGAAGAGACGGAGCAGGAACACCTCCAGGCTGAGGGGCTCGAGCAGGACGAGAGCGAGGGAGCGGAAAGGAGGAAGAAGAAGAAGAAGAAGAAGGGTAAGGAAAGGGAGGAGGTCGATATTAAGGAAGAGCCAGTAGAGGTGAAGACGGAGCCCTTGCACTTGGGCTACGCGGATGAAGAAGATGTGGGCAAGAAGAAGAAAAAGAAGAAGAAGAGGGAGAAGTTAAAAATGGAGGACTTATCCTGAGCCTGTTTTTAACACAAAGGCAAATACAGTACAGGGCAGCCACAGTGCAACCTTCGTTTTATATAGCGCCTTTGGTGCAGCTGCACATGGATGTCTTAGGAAAGAAACTCGGTGCCTGAAGGAACACGAATTGATTCACATCACTGATGCCCCCGTGTATCCAGTCCCCAGCCCAGTGCCCCTTCAAACCCATCCAGAAAAATAATTGAAAAAAACAGAACCTCCCACTTCTAAATATTCCTGCATCTTTTCCTCCTTGTTTGCTTCTCTGGACTTGAATCATCGAAAAAAGTAGTACCCACCTTCAGGCTACAAGTGCTTGAGGTTTTTCCCCAATGTAGTGCCCCTGTCAGGGTTGGGTTCTAGCCTGGCCCGCTGTCGATTAACGTGTTTGTTGCACAGGGATAAGAGAGCCTTTTGACAACCGGCATCCCCGTGTGGGGGAGGGAGGGACACAGTGTGTGCGGCTTCTCTGATCTTGGCACGCGTCTGGCAAAGAAGAACTTGCATTCACAGGTGCGATGTCTCTGTTTCTGGGTGTCATGATACAAGGCTGTTCAGATGTCTGTTGCTAACTGATTTCCCAGCACTAAAATAAAGACAGAGGAAGGGTTGCACACAGGAAGACCCCGTCCCAAACTTCAGTGAGCTAGTATGTAGCCAGAGTTTTCATTTTATATCTGATGTCCCTGAGGATATTGGAGTCGCCTTCTGTGCGCACTTTCACATCCAGACTCAAAACCTTCTTCTTGAGAACTGGTCCTATCTACTCCCTTGCTTTCCTGCTGTACTGCAAACCCTTTTTGCAGTTGTGTCATGCTGCTCTCTCCTCTCATGTGTGCTTTTTTTCTTGCTGTAAAGCTCTTTGAGAAGCCACATTTAAAGGCTCTGTATTTGTGTTTTTTATGATGATAGTGTTGAATGTCATTGTGACGTGAAAATGCGGTATAGATGTCACTGTAGGGTGAGTACTCATAAGACATTACTTGCTAAACAATCGTGTAAGATTGCTGAATGACAGAAACGAGTCGAGTCGAATAGGGCTGCAGTGCTGACGTGACGCGCGGCAGATTTATTGCCGCTGCAGTTGTTTTAAACCAGAGTGCCCGGCAGGTGGCGGTGTTGCACTGTGATTTTCCAAGGCCCGAGTGAGACCCGTCTGCGCTCAAAACAGCCTGCATTGTACGCCTCATTGTACACTGTACGCCTATCATACCTGCATTGACGAAAGGTTTCGTTTACATCTTTAAAGGACGACGTTCCAGTTGGATTTCAAATGCAGTTTCATAATCTCCCTTTCTAGATAATCTCTTTACGTACAATAATTTAATTTTGAAGTGTAGATAAAAACATGCTTTCTTTAAAATAACTACAGACCCTGCCGAAAGTCACTGGAACACGATTCCCCTATGTCTTAAAAGAGGTTTTTTGAGAAATGTGAAGGCGACTGCGGTAATGCAGTACAGTGTCAGTGGTGTGTTCACAATGGAAAACGTGTCGGACAGCCTCTGGCCAGAGGCTCCAGGAGCTGGGGGGAGTCTGGGGGGCGTTTGGAGACAAGGCTGCAGATTCCAGTACTGGGGCTCGTATGGTTTCAGTTTCAGATGTTTAGATCTCTCAATATTCTCCTCAGGCGAGAGCCCCACTGTACGGGGCCGGCTGCTGTTTTAATTTAGGTGGCTGATAAACACTTCACCGGCATGCACAAAATCATTCTGCACATTAAAAAAAATATATATCGCGGTGTTTTTGCTGGTCGTAAATAAATCAGAGGGATATTACATTTGTATGCTAAAAAGTAGACTTCTTTTTTCTTGTGCATCCGAATTTTTAACTGGAGAGTTTGATTTTATAAAAGGGTACATCCTGAATACCAATGAAGGCGCCGCACAGCCTCACAGCACACATAAAGTGAACGTCCATTGCAGAGGTCGTCGGGCTTAACAGGTTTTCCAGGTTGTCCCGTAACGGCGTGGATGAGCTCGTAGCTTGGCTTTTAAGTCGATAAGGAAGTCGTCGCCCTGTGCGGAGACCAGCCCCGGCGCCTGGAAGGACGAGTCGGTCTGGGGTTCGGATCAGCCCAGACCCGTACCCGTGATCGCAACCTTGTCGGAGCTCGGGAATGGTGAAAATCCCGAGCTGGCCCGCAGTGCACACGCGAGGCCCCCGCTACCGCAGTCTGCCCCCCCTCTTCCCCGCGCGCCACCTCCACGCACGCACCCCTGCCTTTCTTTCCCGAAGAATCCCGGTCTGTTGCGTCCGCGCGCTTCAGCCGGCCTGCGCTGCGGCACCGAGCGGTTTCCATGGCGACGCCGACCCGCTGAGACCCCGGGGATGTGGAGCGGATCCGTCCGTCACGGCGACCAGCCTGCGCTCGGAGAGGCGGCCGGCGGGCTCCGGACCCGGGGGGCTCCCCGCCCCCGCCCCCCCTCTCTCCCGAGGATTAGGATCGGGGTGCGTGTTCTGGATTTCAAATCGGCAAATCGCGGCTGCTGCGACAATCCGCCCCCCACCTCTGAAAATAAAGCTTTTTTCTTTCCTTGCGGGGCGGGTGGGAGTCGTGATGGTAATTATTTGACATCGGCTTCTGAATATTGCGGATAATGGTTCACTATCAGTCGAGTCCGTCCCGTTTCAAGCGCCGCCCGTGCACGGCAGCGAGATTCGCGTGGAAACGCGCGGAGAGACACGGCCACCGAGATTCCGCTCACCGCCGCACCGTGGCTTCTGGAAACTAGCGAATACTCAACGCAAACTTTCTCTCCTGTGTAAAGATTAAGAGAGAAGTCTTGGCCTTGTTCATTTACTTCGACTATGGCTAATCCTAATTTAGGTGTATAAAACTGCAATATTTCAGTCTCTTTTCATATTCTCTATGACGTGGTATTTTAAAGTGCCTTAAATACTTTGTCCTAACGCAGTCACCTGGCCAAGTCTGCTCGAGAGCCAGTGTGAGGATTAGGATGGGTGTTGATCGCACGGAGAGGAGCTCCGATCGGGTGTGTGGCTCTAACGCTCCGTGGAGGGAGGGGGGTATATTGAGCTCGGAAATATGAACTGTCTCTATGGCAACAGGATGCGATCCCTCTCTCCCACACTTACCCACCCCCCCTCCGCGTTAGCGTTAACCCCTTCTCTCCCAGCCCAGAGGAAATGTCTGCTCTTGGCCACACAGGAGAGAGGTCCTCAGACATGCCAGGAGAACATTTTTACTTTTAAAAGAAATCCCAATTTCAGATTTCAGGATTCCTTATCGTTGTCGTGTTTGGTAGACCTTGCTCATTAAACAAATCGTTCGTAATGCAATACAAATGAGTAACAAAATGTGCTCACTTACTGTTACCAGCTAAAACACACGGATTATTTCTCAAATCGAGGTGTAGTCCGAGCCAGTGAGTGCAGGTCAGAATTGTGGACACGTCCCCTAATTTACTCGTTCAGGTGCCCCCAGAAAATCAGATATCTTGCAATAACATTGTGGCGCTCAAAAAGGGAATATAGATTCGTTTTTGTGCTTTGAAATATACATTGTAAGAAAAAAAGGTATCTACATTTTACAATTAAATTTCAATTTGAAGTTTCCTTTTGCATGACAGTCAAAAGATTTCAACGCGAAAACAGAAAGCAGCCCTTCTTTTTCAACATTACTCCGAGCTACAATGCTTCCGTCTAGAAGACCTATTTGGCTCCGAGCTATAATTTGAAGTCTGCAGTTTGTAAGTGCTCTTACCTGCAGCGCGCATGTGACCCCTGGTGTTTCTGTGACAGGACAGGCTGGGGAGCTCGGGGCTGGAGTCGGTGACGCGTTGACATGGAAGCTCAGGAAACATCACCCCGCTGGGCCTCCAGACAGCACAGAGAGTGATATGAAAAGTGCGCTGGGTGATGTCCATTAAAAGTGACAGAAGAATCGAGTGCTGGCTCCTGCAAATGACTGGGGAATCAAGGTGCTTTGCTGTCTGGGGTGGAGTAGCCGTTAACGCGTCCCCGGGAGCCCTGCTGACGCAAGCTCCTCTGTTCAGCTCTCGCTGGAGGCGTTGTATGCATTGGCTGTATAAGAAAATCAAGATTCTGCGAAATATCAACACTGTTGCAGCTACAGGAACTGTGGGGTGAAGGAATAAAGTTGTTCTGTGTGTCGAGGTGTGTGTGTGTGTGTTTTGGCCATTTATCTTGTGGTCAAGGCCAGCCCCTCGTTTCCCTCCACCCGTGACAAACGCGTGTGGAGACCGCGGAAAGGGAGCTGAACGTTTGATCCGTCTGTGATAACGTTTCTGTCAGAAACTCATGGGCCCGATGAACAAACGGAATCGGATTATCAGAAGTGCAAGGAAAACAGTGGCGTCATTGTGCCGGTCTGTTTCTGGGTGAAGGGGTGTTGGTGAGGTAAAACTACAGTTTTATTAGCGCTTCCTTGGTCGGGCTGGCACAGGACAGGGCTCGTGGCTCAGACTGGCCCTCGGCCGTGCTGGGTGACCATCTGTCTTGAGATGACTCTACACTGCACTGAACAAGCGCCCGTCCTGTCGCACTGTTTTACGTAACAGACGGAAAGACGCTCCCCTGAAGATTGGCAAGAATTCCCCCCCGCACACAACACGTCGTTTTCGACGTCTTGGAGCAAGAATAGACTCCGCCGCAGTTTGTCGGGTTTGCTTTGCTTGGGTGTCCTAGAAAAGCAGGAGAAGCCGGATCAAGGGATCATGAGCGGAGGACCGACAGGAAGGTGAAAGCGAGGCCAAGAGCAGCCGCTTGTATCTGAAAGCGGTGCGGCTCTGGGAGTGTTAGAGAACCGTTTGGCACAAGTCGGCTTTCAAAAAATGCGTAGGCCGCGTTGCGCCCTCTTTTTACGAATTGTGGGCGGAAAACGAGCGAGCCAGCCCTGTTTTTTTTTTTTTTTGTTGTTGCTGGTTGTTTACTGGAATCAGAGGCCCGTTCTGCCAGCGCCCGGTGCGACAGGAAGCTTTCGTGTTCTGCGTGTGTGCTCGTGATCCCGGCTTGGAAAAGGCTTCGCCAGACGTTCGACCCCAGCGGTTCCGGAATTTCCTTTGTTTGGAAAGGAAGCGACGCTGTTGGTTTTGGCTGACGAGAGAATCCCAAAGGCAAAGGCCGTACAGACACAAGAAGCTTTTCATAGTCTTCTGAGGCTTTTCTGGTACGAGTTGAGGGGGGGAAAAATCTCGCATAACAATTGGCAAAGTTGTGAAGAAATGTTTTCGTTATTGCTCTTAAACTATTTTTTTCGTCATTTTGATCATCAAAATACCTATTTTTAGAACTTGGAAAATGTTAACTTTTTGTTTTCATCACTTATTAGCCGAAATACTTTTTTTTTTGTTACAGTTGCTAAAGGTCATTTTATTAAAGGACCTCCTTAAAGTAGTAAAAAAAAAGTGTGGGGATGTCCTCTTACCAAAAGCCTTCAAAATCCGCCCAAGATATTTCATGCTGGACAAATATTTGCATGCTTTTCCCCTAAATTAACAATTATGAATTGCCTTTGTATAGCGCAATTACTCCCGGAGGATCACAGAGCAGTCTACACGAAGGAGGAGACACAGCAGCTCCACTCTCAGGGTACAGGGTACAGGAGGAGAGAGACACTGCTGCACCAGGTGGATTAGGGGGAACTTTAGGAGGGACAGATTGTTTAGACTCAGTATGGATTTTAGTCATTGCCTGTCATTATACTGGAGCATAGGTTTGGAAATTCTGGTTTGGGGAGGAGAAGCACCACCTACTGGTCCACCAGCACTACTTCATTGCAGCCACCTGATTTTCCATGCGGTCTCCCACGTACTGACAGCACTGAGCAGGCCCAGCCCCTCTCTGCTTCAGAGATCTGAACAGATCAGGCAGCAGGTGGCTTGTTTCTGTCTTTGCAGTAACCAGCTCAGTACTACAGTATATCCATATCAGTATCGCCCAGGAATATCACCTGGACTCTCCTGAAGAGCGGATCTGCCCCTCTCTCCTCCTGCAGTACTCGGCAGATCTGAGGAATAACTCTGTATTTTTCAGAGGTTCCTCCTCCTCAGCTGCAGTAACCTTGCACAGGCCTCGGGTGTGTTCAAGCCGAGATCTAGTTCTGCTGGGGGAAACGCTAAACCAAGCATTACTGGCTCATCCTGGGTAATCTGGGTTATGTAAAAACACTTTGGATTATTTGGGCTGCAGATGTTGTGGAAACTGGGCCGGCGCCTCTCAGGCACTCTCTGTGTTTCGTGTTTAAAGTGGGGCTCAGGGAGAAAAACAGTGAAGGGACTCAGTGAAGACAGAGGCACGATCGTCACAGACGAACCTGCACATTTCCCTGTACCCCCCATTTTAGTTTGATTGCTGTCAGATATTTTTATTTCTAAAATAGGGTCACACCACCTCAGTGCTTGAAAAGCCCACGCTCGGCTGAGTTTCCCCTCCAGTGTCTCTGGGAGCTCTGGTCCCTCTGCCAGGAGGCGGTGCTGTTTTTCCACCACATGTGCGCGAGCTGTGCTTCAGGGGGGCTTGAGGGAGTATGCACCCACACTTTGATGGCACTGAAACTCTGGTTCCACAAGCAGCTCATGTTTGGAGGGGTCAGTTGTGTGGCCCCATCTCCCCCTTTCATGGTGCTGGCTCTTCCAGGTGTATGAGAATCTGACCTTTGACCCCACAAGCAAGGCTGGCTTTCTTCAGACTCCCTCCCTCCAGCCAGTGCCCCTCCCCCCAGGATTGTGTGTGTGCTCACTGCTGCTCACAGGCAGCCTCGCAACCCGCCGTCACTCAAACACCTCCTCCCCCCGGCTTCACACCAGGAAGGTTTCGCTTCTCAGCCTGGGTTGCGGGGCGGTTTGAGAAAAAAGCTGCTTTCTGCTGGCTGTAATTTTGCCTGAGGTTCCTAATGAGGGCGACTCAGGGGTCCGTGTGTTTATTTAAAGACGCTTTCATCTCGGGACCGGAGAAGACAGCTGCATGCAATTGGCATGATGTTGTTATAGAAGAATCACTTCGTCTCTGACACACAAGGAGCTTAATGACAGGCTTCTTGCGGCGTCCTTGAGAATGATAAATCCGCTTCTGCGCACCTGAACTGAATTCCAATGAACCGCGCGTCCACAAAGCAGCACGAGCTGCCTGCCCTGTAGGTGAAAAAAAAAACCCAACGCTGTGTGGAATTTCGGCTGGTGCTGGGCTCCCAGTGAGGTGTGTGCGCTTGTCCGTGGGGCTGGTGGCATTGCAGGGGGGGATGGCACACGCTGCGCCCCTCTGCTCCCTGCTGGCCAGTGGCAAATGAGGCGATGCTGACAAGCCTAAATCTGCCTGCTGCTCCCAGGCAAGGCCCTGCTACCTGCTTCTGGAGCCGCGTTTGTCAGCCCAGCGGGGTGCGGTCGCATTTCAGCACACCCCATTACATCGCATCTCAGCCAGCTCATTCGTTAGCTGACACAGAAAGAAGATCTCTGGAGACGGCGTGATCTTGGAAAGACTGGAGCATAAGAACACCCACGGGACAATCTTTTGTGTTTTTTGTCTTTTTTTTCTTTTGTGACTGAGAGAACCTCGAGAGGAGAGCGCCTCAAATTCGCACAGTTCTGTGAAGATGTTCTCAGTGATTGAACGCAAGAGCCTGGATTAAATCCAGACCTCAGCTTTCCAGCCAACCATAGTGTTGGGGTCACTATACTAAAACCAAGGTCCTGACTCTCTGTGGTTATTAAAAATCCCAGGTAATTTCTTTAAAATATATTGGGACATTGGTTTAGAAATTCTGAATCAGCGTTAAGAGCACCACCTACTGGTCCACCAGCACCACTTACAACAGCACTCATATATGACAGAGCAGTTGGTTGCTCTCCCATCGGTGTACTTGTGTTTCCTAATGTGGGAAGTCTGTTGTTTACTTGTGGCCAAAAAAAACAGGATGAATTAAATGCATTTAGATGTTCTCCTGGAAATTTTTGAAAATCAGTTTATTAAAGCATGGTCTGTTGAACGAAAATAAAACATCACCTGCAAAGTTGCAGAAACACATTTTGTATACCATAAAATTGATAAAGATATCACTGTAAACTGTACAGTGCTTTTAAAAACCTAGTCCTCGCTTTGCAGTTTATATTTACACGTTATTTATAGTTGTACAGATAAGGGTACATTTTATACCCTGAAACATTCATTCCACTGTATGCATGGTCTAAAAGAAGAACAAAAACAGTTTTTACAGTTTTGCCAAAAGAAATGTACATTTCTGTTGAAAATGTTCAGATTACAATCTCTCACATTCCAGTGCCACTCACTAGTTCATCTATAATGACCTTGAAGTACAAAAACCTTATTTTACAAAAAAATGTATCTGGACTTATTGTATGTAAGCCAGAAAATAAAACAATGAATGAATAACTGACTGGTATGACACGTGCAGATTTGGAAGAATCGCCTGAAGGGTGGTTTTGTGGGGCTGGGGGGGGGTCGATTAGACCTTTGCTTGTAAATTGTACTGCAAGGAGAGAAGAGGCTCTGAAACACAGGAGCCCAGCTTGCTGGATGTGGTCAGTAGAGACTCTTGAGACAGAGGCCTGTCCGAGAGACGAGTCTGACCGCTCCTGTGCTGCCCCCTAGCCCAGAGGTGGCGGCTCCGGCCGAGGCACACAAGCCATCCTGTCCAGCTCGGTGCCGAAACGCCAGCTGGGCCGACCCGTCCTGCTCGCTTTGCAGCAATGCGGGAGAGTTGTTTGGGTGCCCTTGACACGTCTTTAATGAAGGGCAATCCAGTCAGGTGTCTGGGCTGGGGAGTGTAGGCTGGGGAGGGGGTGACACACAGCGCAATGCTGAAGAAGTAGTTCAGATCTTTTCATCTGGTTTGTTCAAAACGCAGAGACGTCACCGCCCTCCCACACAACTGGTGGGAACAGGTTGTGAAAAGTATTTCAAACAATACTTGTGTCATAAAAAAGGCTTCTGTCAGCCATCCATAAGAACGGAAGAGTGAGCTGCAGCCCGGGCTCTGGAGATTAATTCCAGCTCTTATTTACTGAATCATGGTCTTAACTTAATGAACAGCATGTGCACTGAGACCCTTCTTGTCAGAAGAGGATAGGAAGAGAAACTGCAGGCAGCCATTTAACCCATCTTACTTGGTTCCTGGTGTTCTGAGGATGGATCAGCCGGAACATGTATTGAAAGATCTGTTGAAATCAGCTTCAGCAACGCGGCTGGGCCGTTTGCTCCCGACACCCACCTCCCTTCGTGTAAAGCTTCACAGAGCTTTGCCTAGATGGACTTGTTCCTCCCTCTTGGCCTGTCCAGGAGTGGTTGCTGTTTCTGTTTCCAAGGAGTTTACTGTGAATGGCTGCTAACCTCAATCGCTGTATGTCTGTGCAGATCTCTTGAAATACGCGGCATTTGCTATAATCTTGCCGTGGTTTTACCATGCATCTACTTTTGTTAAATCTTCTTGCAGAACGTACCAGACTTGCTGTAGGACACTTCCCTGTCATTTACAATTCCCCTCCCTGTTGCTTGAACACGACAGACTCAGCTCTTACCCTTGCCCTCAGAGGGCGTTACAGTCAGCCTCCTGCAGCTGTACGTGTTCTAGCTTCTGTTTGGCTTGTCCATTTGTTTTGTCAATAAATAATTCAGATCATTTAATTTGGCAAACAGCTATTTACACGCAGTTCTTACACGTTTGAGTTATTTTTATCAATTCATCCTAAGAGCCATAAGAAAGAGTGCTAGAGAAAGCAGAAAATTACCTAAAACCTGGTATGAACCTCGAAATGAGTTCAGATGGAACATGGGGTGAACATAGCTCTGAATGGCGCTGAAAATGTTGTATTTATAAACATGATCTTCACATTGTATTATCCTCTATTGTGAGTTATAGATCTGTACTTAGCTATAGAACCCAGAGCTACTTTGTTAAACTCTTTTTTTTCCCCATCCACCAACTTCCACTTCAATTAAAATAATAACAGTCGGCTCGGCCACTCGTGAGTATTTTTTAACCCATTTAACAGCGTGTTGTGTGAAATCAAAATGAGTACCGCGATGTCCCCTGCCTCAGATCTGTGTCACTGTGTGGCCATGAGGGAGAAGAAGCCTGATGATGTGTGGAACCACCCCTGGGATTGACAGAAAACATCTGCTCTTTTCTCCAATGTGAGGCAAGAAACCCCAATAGTGGCTTGCACAAGAAAAGGGTGGGCTGGTGAGATTGGGGTACAGTTATGAGCACCCCTGTATCTGTCACCACGGAGACGCAGTGTTGCTGTGGTTAAGGTGCAGGGCCTTTTACTGGGATTTCCTGGTTCGAAGCCCAGCTCTGCCCCTGACTCAGAGTCACCTGCTTCTGCACCTTCAGGTGAGCAATAAGAGGGGGTTCCTGTCGGGAGTGAATCTGCACAGTCTGCGCCCTCCCTCGTGTCTGCAAACTGCTGAGGACAAGGGCTTCAGCCGAGCATCTAGCACCTATAAACGCGAGGAGCTCGGGGAATAGCAGATCCTTTGACCAGGGCTGGGTTTCTTCAAGTGTGATCGCTGGAAGATGATGCTAATTCAGGTCGGGGTTTGGCAGAAGACCTGTCCAAGATTTAGCTCATTGAGAAGTGTTCTAATCAGCGGTTGTTTATGTCCTGGGTTCTGAGGACTGACGGGTTGTAAACCCGTAAGGAGGAATGACTTTCAGGGCACACTTCGGCACCAGCGGTCAGTAACCCTGCACACTTCGTCGGTGTTGAATGTACCTGAGATTTATTTTCTTGCCACGACTTTGGGAAACAGATACAGGAGCAGGCTTTGTCTGAGCAGACTTGTAAATCAGCTCCTCGCCAGCCCACTCCGGGGTCTCGTGGGGGTCTGGGCTCCTGTCTCTCTCTCCTTCTGTCAGCAAGACCACAGACTTCAGAAAACCACAACAGATCGCCACAGCAGGACAGGCGCAAGAGACTCTACCACTCCAGCTTGTGAGGGCAGAGGAAGGTCACCCAGGCCTAGCCCCTCTGTGTCCTCCACGAAGGGAGACAGAGCTCTGAGGAGAACAGCTGGCGATACCTGCAGCTCCGAAAGATTCAGGGATAAACCTCATGCAGGGTGGAAGGAAAATAAATTAGTCTGCAGACTCCTTGCTTCTGGGAAAAGGTGTGCAATTAGAAGAATGCCGTGACTTTGCAGCTCCACTACAAGGGTTTCCACAGTTTTGACAGAGCGCCTGGAGGGTAAGTGAAGGAAGGTCAGGTTCTCTCCTGCCTGGCCAAGCGTTTCACTCGGGTGGTTTTCTCCTCTTTCCTCCTCTGAGGATCGAAAGCGTTTCTTCATAAAATTGCCCACTCCGAAAATTAGCTTAAGTAACAGTTACTCCATCGGTACTCCATTATTAACAATCAATGCTGCGCCGCATTTTAATTAGCAGCACTTCCTAAGAGCAGGTAATTCTAATTGTTAATGACCACAGTACTCCTGGGATTCCTCCATGAGCTGACTGGACATTAATGCACAGAGTGCAGTTCTGGTCAGTTCAGGCTTTGATTGAGGAGAAGAAATAAAAGGATGGAGAGGGCTGGCTCGTGTTCCCAGTCAGCACAGGAGATCCGGTAAATTAAAATGCAAGCGTCCCCAGAATACTGCAGGCTTTGTACATCGTTACAGCAGTGACAAAAATGAGAACGTCTTCTGCCTCCGTATATACTGAGCAGCTCTGCTCATTATTTCTTTTTTTTTTCTTGGTCCATGTCTGTCTTATTCCAAGAATTCAACAAAAACAAAAAAGAATGAGGGGACTTTTCAAGATTATGAGGTTATCTTTTTTTTTAAAATAGAGGCTTATTTAGCATTTCAGCTTCTAGACACGTAATTCCCTTTTTGTTAAAAAAATTACCTCCTTTGCATTTCAAAGCATTTTGCCTCCCCTCCACTCCCCTCACACGCACTTGCGTGGAAACAAAAACGTGTTCTGTTCTGCCTGCACCTGCATCTTACAAAAGAGCTATTTGGCCCTCTCTGACACACACACTCACTCAGACTCCCTGGCCGGGAGCTCCCCTCTGTTTCTGAGTGTCTGAGGCTGAATTGTAGCGAACCCGGGTCTGAGAATGGACGGTACGATTTTGCACAGTTGTTTTTGCCAAGCTAATTGTGGACTAAAGATTTACGAGTCACAATTTTACTGCAAACGGCCTGTGCAAACAACGAGAGCAAACGTCAGCTGGGATGGGCTGGGCTGGTGTGTAACACGTCTGATATGGAGATGTAAGACGTGGGAGGTGAACTGGCTCAGTCTGTGGGCAGACGGTACCCACAGCTTCATGCATCAATGCAGGTCTGCAGAGGGATTACAGTATTGACGTGAGCTCCGTGCCCCCAGGCTGAAGGATGAGGAGGAGGTCTGACTGCCACTCCACTGATGTGGAGCAGTCCAGGGGGGCAGAGATGAGGGGTATTAAAGGAAACAATGCTGAACCGCATTTGTACAGAGGGGGGGGGAGTGAATTTGGGGGCTGTCGTCTCTCCCAGACACGCTTTTCTGAACCGCTTTGGGTGAGCTGGTGCGCACCGCGTGAGTGTGTGAACATGAAATTTACATTAAGAGATTGATCGTGTTCATGCTGGGGGGCTGGGGGGGGGGGCATTGCACACCCTTGCTTCCAGCCTTTTCCTGTATTTCCCAGGTGTGGCGCAAAACTTTCTTGAACTGACCAACAGAGTGACAGAAAGAGTTGGAGAGAATTCTCTGCTACACCCCACCAAATCTTCCAGCAACTGTAAAATGATGTCTGGCTCCTGCAGGCCTCATTTGCTCAAACTGCTGACAGAAAATTTTTTAAAACGTAAATGTATGTGTTTGCATTTTCTACAGTGCCAGCCCTGTATTTTGTGTTGCACGCCTTGCTAGGTTTAGAGGGTGCTTAACAGATATTCAATAAGAGATCAAAATGTAAAAGTTGTCGCAGGTCGTTGACAGGCGGGACCAAATGAATAAGGACCTTTTCAATAGTCTTTCTTGGACAAAACAGCAGCTAGATGAATGGTCAGTGAGTAACAGTATGGAGAAAGAGCATGATATCTTTTGGTGTTATAAATGACTCAGGCAGGGCGATGCAATGACATTTCTTGTGCATTAGGAACAGAACTGCCCTGCTTGTCATGCTTACTGTGGAGGTTACAAGCATTCAAGAAAGTACAACACAGTAACCGTTATGATGCACTTTGTTTTCACAAGTTTATTAATGGATTTAAAAGCTGCTACAAATTGTAACCTGCAGCACCTTTTTAGTTAGCAATGTAGTGTGCAACTTACCTTAAGAGACCCTGATTACAGAGAGTGCTTTGGTTTTGGGCATTTGAGTTAATACTTGAATTATGTGCATATACTGCCTTATGGTTTCATGTTATTTAAAAGCTGATCTTGCAGTAACTGAACTACCTGTGCCTAGTGGTTAGTCTCATAGGCTCCTTTCCTGTATGAACAGAAACATTAGGCAGTATCCTCACTCATTGGCCGCAATGCGAGGAAAGCTTATTAATCACTATCGGCCCACAAGAACAGACTCTCCCTGGTGGGTTGTCCACGTCCAGTTCCCAGTTCTCAGTCCTAACGAAACCTGTGGGAACTACAGCTCAAGGCCACACTGCTGTTATGGGAACCACAGGGGAAGGGACTGGGCTATCTCTATTGCAGAACCTCGTGGACCACATTCAGCTCCCTGTTCGAGCTGTCTGGGGGGTCCTGCCATTTCAGCAAGTCAGTGTGCAGGGACTATACTGTATGTGCCAATTCCATAATCTCAAATCCTGTTTTTGTAGTTGGTCTGAGGCAAATGCTAACTCTCATATTCGCCTGATTTTGTTCCCCTCTTATTTAAGCTGTACTTGAAAATAAACTGGAGAATCACACCTCGGTGTACAAGCATTAGCTAAGGATTTCATGACTTTCTAATAAGATCAAACTGCCAGGGTCACTAAGGCAGTCATGCTGCCAGATCATTTTTCCTCAGGAAATAGAGATCCACATGATTTTTTGCTGGAAAAACGCGGGCATCTGAGACAAACATTAGGCTATCTCTCAAGCCTCGACTTTTTCTTGAGATGTCCCGAGATGCACCTTTTCAACATCACTATGGTTACACGCTAAAAATCAGGAGGCATTTCCTTGACTTGTTTCCTGTGAAATGGTTCGTAAAGAAAGGTCAGAAATGTCTCCTTTTTCCACAGGTCTGCTGATAATGTTTAGTTTTCTGTATTATTTAAATGAAGAAAGCAAACCCATGTGAGTTTTATACTACTCTTGTCATCTTCTCATTGACTGTTTTTCTCATTTCTCATAAGGTGGTGCCATCTTAGGCTGCATTTTTGCTTTCTCCGGTTCTTTCCTGCTGCCTAAGAAACTTTCAGAATGAATTGGGACTCTAGCAAATGAACCTTTGGGACTTGAACCCAGTACACAGTAAAATACAGTAGTCTGGATATTGACCCCGTCCTTACTTCCTTGTGCAGTGGCAGGATTCAAGTGAAGGAGAGGAAGGAGATGGTTGTGCTTCATGGGAAAGCAGACTGGACTAACGGGACTGACTCCTCGGGGTTATGGAGACACTGTGCTGATGTGTGGCTTCTAAAGTAGTATGTCATCATGTAGTCAATGGAATACAGAACATGGCGCAAGGGAGAGGAGGGAGAGGTGGCTGTGAGAAAGTGGGTTTATGGAGGGTAATCCGAACTCAAACTGAACAATGGTCTTCGCTAACGTCAGTAGGTTCCATTTGAAAATGGAGCCCTCACTTCTTAGCTTTGGTGAACACTGACTGAAGACACACTGCACCACATCTGCACACAAACACACACACGCACACACAAACTCGTCCACAAGTCCCTGGCCATAGCCTGAGTACTGGCTGGCCGGTCCAAAATCCGCCAACCCACAAGGGCTGAATTCTCCAGTCCTCCTTGGAAAAGTCAACGCAAGGCTGGGGCTGATTCCACAGACATGGAGACATCAGACGATAGGGTTTCCCCGGAAAGATGCGAGGACATTCCACAACAACGTCTTAAACATGTCGGCTCAAGCTTGGCTAGTCATGGCTACAGAGATGCTCAGACCAGTCAATCGTGGCCAGGGAGTGAGGACTGTCCACACACACAGCGCACTCACACGCACACACACACAGCGCACTCACACACGCACACAGACACACACATCAGACCCCTGGTGTCAGGCACAAACGTGCGATGTGTTACTTGGATGAGGCTGAGTGTTGTGAGAGTGGAGAAAAAGACAACAGAAGACAGGTGACGCTAAAATGAACATTTATAATGACTTTTTTTTTTGTTGTTGCTGCTGTTGTTGCCGGAAATAATAATTAAAAAAACGATTTAATATATATTAGTACTAAAATGCCGACTTCACTGGTAAATCCACAGGTCAAAAAACACAACTTACTTTTTTTCTTTTCTTTTTTTTTTACAAACACAATGCTACAGTAACATTTAAATACTCATTACTCTTTAAGTCAAGTTTTACGAATGGTGTTCCAAAAAGAATCTCAAAATAACAACAAAACCAAAAATAGAAACAATAATTCACCTTTCCAGTCGTCCCTTTTTTTGTGGCGGTTGTTGTTGTTTTATTAATAGTAATATAATATGTTAAAAATAAATAGCTTCAGTGAAGAGACCACACGAAAATGAGACCCAGCAGCATAAAAAGTCATTTGTGAAATGCAGTGCTCCTCCGACAGCTTGCAGCTCCTTCCTGTACACAGACAGCAGCTCTCCTGGCTGCGGTTCTGCAGCTGGCCAAGACTGGCATCAGTCTTGTGTGCAATTCAGCATTTGGCACTTCTAGAACAGGTGGGTGCTATCTTTTTTGCTTTCTGAAATCTATTTAACCTTATACTGTATATGCGTACTTTGTCAGGGTGAGTACTATATCTGCAAATACCCCTCGGAATTCCAGGCAAGGATTGGGTGGACTAATAACTGGGATTGTCCCGGAAGCAAACATGATCTCAACTTCCGTTCTGTCCCTCGTTTTTTTTTCGGGGACTTACTGAACAATCCCGTCTACCTCGAATCCGCCATTTTTTCCATTTTCTCCTCTCGGCTTGTCAATGGAGAGGGAACCACGCTGTGCAGGGACTCAGCGAGAGCTAAGTGCCGAGTCTGCCGGGCGAGATTCCTAGGGCTTGGGAATTCTGGGGATTCTAGGCGGATTACACTCGACTAGCTGTGCCCTGCTGGGGATTCTGGGAGTCACACTCCCACGTGGGGAGAGGGGCTGCAGTTTTGCATATCTGTGCTTGGCTTTTTGAGAATATCTGCATACCAGGGGCATGATATTGCAGTTTTGGCAGTCGTTTACAATAGATAGGCCAGGAAATGCTGTTTGGAAACCCTACTTGCATTTTCAATTCACACTCTAAGAAGAACAGAGTGTACATAAACACATTACCTCCTCTGAATTTCTGTGCCATTACCCCAAGAACAGAAAACCTTTTGGAACAAACTGCCTGCTGAGGACATGTCAGGGTTTCTTAATTCCACAAAAGCGGTTTTTGTGCTGCCAGCCCCATTCTGTTGAACACAAAAATGGGTGTTGCTTTTACAGTTCAACAAAACTGGAAAAAAAATCTATATTTACAATGAGAGAAATATGAAGGAGTGGAAAAAACATCATTTTTGTTTGTTTTGTTTGTTTTTTCTCTTTCCGAGAACTGTCTTATCCCAATGGCGCGAGAAACAAAACAACAAAAAATAAATCCAATCCAAAACTCAACTAATAAAAAAAAACAACAAAATTGCACAGTCTCAAAGAAGCTTGGAGATGGAATGGAGATTTTTAAATCCAAACAGGGTTGATGAACACAGAAGGGAGGAAGAAGGTCAAAGTTCATGAGGGGGTGAAAAGTTCAAAGTTCAGAAGACAGTTGAAAAAGATGGCTGCCCAGCTGGCGTTCTAAACTCCTCACACCTTTTTAATTTTTTTTTTTAATGTCTGAATATGAGATTTCCCATCGAGATAAAATGGAGAGACTCTGAGTGGAGAGTGACAGGCGCCCCAAAAACACTCTAGCACACAATCAGTGATGTCCAGGAAGGTTGAAGAGATGAGAGAGAGAGCTAGGAAAAGCAGTCTGAGAGAGGTAGCCAGCCTTTACCGTGTTAATCCAAGTCTGCTTTTGTTTCTGATAATGTCAAGGCGTCATGATTAAACATCATGTTATGGAGGAACATGCTGGCCTCACGTGTGCATCCGATGAATGTCCAACAGACAAGAAAACTCAAAAAAGTCTGGAATGGTACTGCTGTTGCTTTTTTGTTTGGCACTCAGGAAAAACAGGAAGGAGGTGGCAGGAAGTGGTTGATAGTGGGGGCAGTGGAAGAGGAAGAGTAAACAGGGTACATATGAATGGCATTTTGTTACACTGGTCTAGGTTAGAAAGAGTCGTAACAAAAACAAGAAAATAAATAGTGACATGACAGATGCAGTCTGACGTTGCTGGTGCTTTTAATGGACGCAAGCTGCCGCACGAGCCTCGACTCCGAGGACGCGAGGCGGACGGCAGGGTGGGGGTGAACAGAGCGCTCGGATGGAGGACACAGCCGCCGCCCAGGCGGTGACCTGACCGGCGCCGAGCTGCCCCCCCCTTCCCTCTGGGCTACGGAGACGTCCCCCCACCCCAACCTCACCTCCCGCTGTCCGAAACTGACCACACAGCCAACACAACACAACACAAGCCCGTTCCCGCCCCGGCCCGCGTGTGGGGGGCGCTGCGGGCTCGTGTCCACCCCCCAGCGAGCCCGCGGGCGCAGGTGCGAGACAGGGGCGACTGGCTCCGCTCGCCCCCTGTTTTGGCACTTGTTTCCCTTTATTGCTTGAAACAGAAACTGGTCTATCACTGCGGTTGCACAGTTTCACAAAAGGAACACCCTACTCAGCAAATGAGCTCCTAGCTAACTAGCAACTGCAGTTCTACCCTCCACTCTGTGCTCTTTGCTGGGTAGCATGTCCGTGCAGGGGCAGCGCAGCCCACTTCCTGTCATGCGATGAACTCCAAACCCTTCTCCCTGCCGACTGGCCATAGTCAGCTTCTTACAGGAAAACCCCTTTCTCGCTCGTCAGGGTGTGTTCAGTGATGTGTGCAAACCCCCACAACACAGGAGTATGGTTTGATTCCAGTCCTGGCGCGGGAGTGGGTGTGTTTAGCCTTTGCAGTGATTGCAATCTGCTCCACCTCCTTCGAGGAGCCCACGCGTGTCAGCGCGTGTAAACCAGCCGAGGGATGAAAAGACGTCTAAGGGAAGCGGTTCAACGAAATTTGCACCCATCCGTTTGAAACATCCCTGAAAGACCCTGAGAGACAATCGGGGCGAAGAGCGAAGTGTAGAAACCACGTAAAACCGTGAAGACAAAGGCTTTCCGCCCCGGCCATCGCAGTTGACTCTGCTGTAAAGCGCGCCTGTTCCCGAAGAGAGGATGGGGTTTGTTCGCAATGCCCCTGTGATGATAAAACAGACCCGTGTCTCAGTGTCACAAGACCCGACTAAACCTACGCGATGCGAGCTGTTGGAAGAGAACACGTAACACTCCACCTCTGAAATGATGTTTAAAAGACAAAGACAGACGGTGGTTTTAAGATGTGGGGTTTAAAACGTTTCCTTGCAAGCGTGCGCTACAGCGAGTACATTTACGCGACGGATTCTGCGCCTTTGCTGGCCCTCACGCCACACTCGATAAAGCCCCTCTCTAACCTGGTCGTGTTTTGCGTCGTTCAGGGATGGCGGACACCTCACATGGATTACAACCGCAGTCTAACAAGCAGCTAACGTCCTCCTCAAAACGCCAACCCCAAGGGGTTCCGGTTACTCGTTCAGAAATGATCTAGGACGACCTCCAACATCGCTTAAAAACCCCAGACCGCGTTAACTGTCCGCAGCTGATCCGAGAGAGAACGAAAGCGGACTTTTCTGGGGGTTTTCTTAACGTGTTTGTTCGGTCAGGCTTAAAGGATGGGCAGCGGCCCCAGCAAGTTTGGTCTGAAAGAAAACAACATCACAAATATGGGATATGGGAAAAAAGTCAAATTAAAAACATTTGTGAAAGGTGCTCTACTGAGTCATGCAAAGATATGTCTTCAAAAATAACGATACACCAAATTCCTCGTTTTTTGTTGTTTTTTGTTTTCTTTTGTCCACACTTTCACTTCGATATCATGCAACATAGACGTGCAAATAAGAGAAGTTCTAAGCTCCACAAAATACGTTTTCTCAACTATAAAAGGCTGCCTTAAGAACGCTAATGACTTGTTCAACTCTAAACATGCTACCCTACCTAACAAGAGGTTTGGAATAAGAGTGATCCGCTAACCCGGCACAGGACACGCTCTGGAGAGTCCCTCGGTTGTTAGTGATTTCTCCCAGCTGCGCTCCGATTCGTCATTACAGGGCGGTAGACGACTGTTTGCAAAGCTTTGCGTTTTTTGTCATCGTTTTTTTTTAACCAAAGGTGTCTCTAGGACAGTCTACTTAAATAATAAATGTGTGTTTGGCACTTTTTCACATTTTTCCATTTGTTATTTTTTAAAAAATATTCGTTTCTTGATTCCTTCCGGTGCGTTTACCGTTTCTCTATTTTGGCACAGGTTTATTTAGTAATTTTATTATTACTGTCATTATTATCTTTTTCAGTATTTATAATATATCTTACACCTCATTTGCTTTCTTGAAACTAGAGCATCCTGCTAGTCAGCAAGTCCGATATGTTTCTTTATAGATCGCTTAGTACATAGCAGCATTTTTATAACTTAGAAAATAGTTAAGTATGTAAACCTATTCAATATCTGACTAAATCTACACGTTCTTAAAACAGGTAGAATTAAAGGACGAGACAGTACTACATGCTTACTATATTGCTTCCTCAATGTTTCACATTTTCCCCCTAAATTCCAAAAGAAACTCAAAAGTGAAATGGAGATCCTATTGCATTTTGTATTACAATATATATATATATTCCAGTTGCAATGGAAGAAGAATAATAAAAAGGTCTTTTCTCTGGTTGGCGTTGTACGGCACCTTGTCATCTCTCTCCCTGTTCAGATTACTGCTCTCACAGCACAGGCTTGGACTCCGTTGGCCTTCCTGCTGAAGAACAGCCTCGAATCCAGCTGTCTGTCCTCGCACAGCTGAGACTCCTGCGGCACTGTGTCACGCGCTTCTTATTTTAATTTTTATTTGGAAGGGAGCTGTAACAGGATTTTGAGGTAAATGTACAAGTGAATTTCCCATTAGGGGGCAATGCTAATGATGCCCTTTCCTAATGCCAGCTAGAATTCCGCAGGTTTTTTTGGCCAGGTCAAAGGGTACGGAACATGGTGTCATTTTTCTAAACTCACTCAAAAGTGCTGCAGTCTGTTAGTTGTTCCATTTTTAGAGTCTTTTCTCCACCGTAAAGCCTTAATTCTCACAGTGCACTATTTTTATAAAATGTCGGGATATTCTTTAAGTGCAGCCTAAACGTTTTAGCGCTGCTCAGCTCTTCTGCAAGCTGCGTGGATGGACACTGACGTGGTCAGGAAGCACTTTTCCAGGGGGAGGCAGGATTGTGGGAACCTGTGGGGATAGGAGGCGTTATGAAACAGATCTCCTCTCACCATCGGAAACACGCAGGTTTCTACAAGGTGGCTAAAATGCGATCGAGGACGCCTGTATCTTGATACTCTGATGGCCTAGAATCTCCTGGAGCACTTGTGCGCCGAGTGTGTCTGGTACAGTAAGGGACATTGGCTAAGCCACAGTTTTATCTGGAGCTGCTGAATTAGCAAGCTGTAGCACAACGCCGTGTCACAGTGGAGACACAGTGTCTGACACGGTGTTGTTATCTGGGGGCGTTTACACAGGCCAAGGTGGGGTTCAGATTTCTTTATATATATATACAATCCCTGGTTTCTCCACATTCCTCCCGGACTATCTTCCCTGTCAGCCCATGCGCACCAGTGACGGGGACAGGAAGGAGACACAGGTTGGGGTTTGACGTGTGTTAAGAATGAGGTGGCAGTGGGGTTGAGCGGGGGTGGGGGGTGGATGGGTTTGAATGCAGATAAAGAAGTCTCCTTACCATACAGTGAATACCAGCAATTTGCTGGCGCTGAGACAGTGCGGAGACTGTTTTGAACAACTTAGTCCAGTCTTCACTACTAGGTTCCCTTAAATAATCTGTTGTTCCCCCATTTCAATTTCTAGTTTCAACTCTGCTCCTGGAGATGTCTGTGGCCTAGGGGCTCGTCTCTCTCTACAGCTCGACAGCAGATCACTCATGGGCAAGCCGGTGCATCCTGAACTGAAGTGAATTGGGTCACTGTCCTTCTTCATGGGTAACGGTCAAGTGGACTTCCATCCTAAGGTTTTTTAAAAATGTATAAGCACGTTTCTGATACACTTTCCCACAATATCCAAAAAGCAGAGGGCAGAACTCCACGATTACCTACTCAAGACCTGCTTATTTCACAGGATATTAGATATGTCTTGCATTCTATGTCCAATGACAATTAGGCATTCTTGCCTGAGGGTTGTTACCTGTGTTACAGGTTCAACAACCGGAACCAGAGCTGCTGTAGGAAATAACAAGTGTCCATCTCAGTGTGCCCAAAGGAGTGACGTTGTGGCTCCCAGGTGCTGGGGCTGTCGGCAGAATAAGAGATCATCATGAGGTTTCTACAGCTGGAATTCTGCATAAAAGTGCAAAGAAAATGAGCACACTTTTCCCCCACTCTCACCCCAGATGGAACGTTTTCTGTGAGTTCGCCTTTCTCCGATGCTAATCCCTCTTGTGTGGGAGCTGATTAGAAACGCCCCCTGCGCTTGACTCCAAGATCAGTGCCAGGGAATGAGGGCATATCCGCTTTTAAGACGGAAATGGGGAAAAATAAAACAGATAAGTGACATGGACTTACAAGCAGCATGTGGATCAACCGTTGTTCCTCATGATGTCTGGATGGCCATGATTCTGATTGCTTTGAAGCAGCTAACTGGTAAGGGTGTGTGACGGCCTGTAGGACTTCTTGATACGTTTGGTTCACTTGTAAACCCACTCGCTCTCTTCTCGTCAAACGAATCCGCAGGCCATCCTCCTGGGATCCTTCTGCAACACAGACACTTGTCTGTTTGCACCAAACTCCCACTGCCTATACTTACAGCCCAGCGCGTTTTCTAACTGGGAGAGTCTGATCCCAGTGCCCAGTGCCGCACGGATATGGGGTACACAGGAGGAGTCTCTAAAGACAACCTGCAGTTTGCCAGTGTGAAGTAATCACACAGCTGCTCTCGCACATGTTCGGAAACCCATCAGCATCGCTGGCGTCTTCACTTAAGTATTACAGCCTTTCAGCACGACCCATCCTGGAGGGGCTGTCCCCCCAACCTGTCTGTTTAAATCAAGCACCAGGAGGAGCAGCTGTAGCCTCTGGCTCCGTGTTCCTCACTGCGGCAGCTCTTAAGAGCCGCACTGCTCTTCTGGGACAGGCGAACGGCAGAAGTCCAGAAACACGGACACGCTTGGCGCGCACGAAGTGCGGAGAGAGCTTCCCGAAGAGGAGACCGCGGATTTTCGGCAGTGTGAGTTTGCTCAGTGTCTCCTCTGTCACATGAAGCGGCGCTGGGCTCACGCGACTTCTGTACTCTGCAGTTTCATACCTTCTGTCCTCTTCCTCCATCTTTCCCCCTGGTTTTTGTCTAAACATCCAGCTTCCTGCTGCTCTGAGCACCGATGTGGCCGAGGGAGTGCTGGAGGCCAGAGGCAGCCCCGCTGTGGGGAGGCGCCAGTGTAGAGCTTGCCGGTGCACCTCCTACTGCATCGAATACCCCCTCTCTTGCACCCCGTGTTATAAAACCCTCAAGAAATCTCGAACCAGCTTGGTCGCTGACACTAGTGAAGCCTCCGAGCTTTCACGTGTGTGCAAAAACAATTCAGCTTCCATGAAGCAGCCCAGATTGCCAGTGGCTTCCATAGACTAAGGATTCAGAAGCGCCAAACCGGGAGAACTCCAGGAAGGACAGGCTGCGTTTTCGGGCGGTAAAGAAAGGCAATGAGGAAGAGGAACTGGCTCAAATTTCCAGCACTGGCTGAAGAAACCATCTGGCATAAGAGGTCAGTCTGAGTGCAGCCATCACGTCTCCTTCAACACCAAGAGCCAACGTCATTAATCTGCACCGTCGGATTCGGTGACAAACGCAGTCAAGAGAACTTGCCTGTTGCATCGCTCTCGACTCTAATTTGGATCGAGGTTTGTATTGTTGGGAGGGGGGGTTGGAGGGATAGAATGACACTCCCTAGAACGACAATCCCTAAAATGACGGAGTAACGGCAAGAATTCATATGGATTGACTGGCATTCTGGGGGCAGAAAAGAAAATGGCAGTGTCAAGGAATTCCTGTCACCTGCACTCCTGGTCTCTAGCTGTTGTCTATTGCCTCCAGTCAAACGTGACGTTTTTTCTCCCCAAGTATTAAAAGAGTCCCTTTCCGTAAAACTGCCGAATCGGAGTGACTTCAAATGCGCAGGAAAATCAATTGCCTAAACCCAGCTGCTTGCCCCCACCATGCTGGAGGAGCTCCGCCTCCACCTGAAACCCAAGAACCGTCTTGTCTGGTTTGCTGCTCAGTCTGTTACGAGTGGAGAGCTGGAGCTGGGAGGGAGGGACAGGGAGAGAGACCTTTGCTGTGCGCTATGCCTCTGTGTCACAATGAGAAATGCCAGGTATATCTTTATAGCACCAAACATAAGACCTAGCAACGTGCTCAACGCTTCCTGCGTGCCACAGACACACACACGCCTGTATGTCCGTGTCTCATCGGAAAGAATCTGACACTGCGATTTCCCCTCATGTCTGATCTCAAACCGACACTTTAGTGACTCCTTCTTAACCGTACGCTCAGTGCCAGCAACTAAGTGCAGTTCTTATGGGGTTTAAATTACACATATATTACGCTGTGTGACTTATGATTTAATTCATTTGTATATATAGATATAAAAAGCAAAATTAAATTAAAAAATATAGTATTTTTACATTCATGTCAACCTGAATTCACAGATTTCGAAAAACCCTAAAATACTTCTTAGTCTTTTTATGAGTGAAAATCATATTAATAAATAATGATGATGGAAATGATAAGAATAATTATAATGGTAGTAATAACCATAACAATAATACCTTAGTGCGAACCCTGCAGAGAGAATGCCACAAACTCTGTGCTCGTCTTCCCAGTCCAGGAGTCTGAGCCAACAAGAAACTTCACTGTGTGACTCACTTTCCAGTACCAGACTCAAAAGGTCACCTTTGAGACCAAAACGCATTCGCGAGCATTATTTTGATAGATATACGTGCATCACTGACCCTGTTTGAGTCAGCTCCCAGAATTAGATACCAGAAGAACTGCATTACCCAGCCTCCACTGCTGGCCTCGTTACCCAGGGGGCAGAGCAGAGAGGGGGCGTGGCCTCTCCTCACGTCTCAAGGGCAAGCACTGGTTCGCTGTCTCGACGGACCCGCTAGTGGGCAGGGGGACGGGGGGCTGGGGGAGAGGGGGGGTTTGGGAGATCGGGACCATGGGCACTATTTGACTACACCCCCCAAAAAAATCCGCAAGCTAAAGAGAAATGGAGGAGGGGATCGACGACCCCGGAGTCTCCGCCCCCGGCCGCCTGCCAGGATTTAAAATGCCGCTCACGACAGTCCGAAAAATGGAGGAAAAAAAACAATAAAAAAAACGAAAAATCCCCAAAACATCAGGATTTTAAGTAATAAAACCCTATTTACATATTACACATTTTCCTGGTTTCTTTGTGATACGTTTCCTTCGTTAGTGACTCTTTTGTTGCCGTCGCTTTGCCATCCTTTTCCCTTAAATACTGAAATGCAACCAAGCTTTTTGGACGATTTTGTTTTGACTTTCTTCCTTTTCTTTTTTTTTTTCCGTCCCGCGTTCTTCCCCAGCCCCCTTTTTTCCTACTCGTCTGCTCCCGCTCTCCTCCCTAGCCCACTTTCTGGGGGTTGGTGGCGCGCACCCCTTGCTCGTACGTGATCCTCTGGCTGATGAGATACTGCGCCGCCTGCGTGGCGGCCGGAGATCCGGTTATGGTTACTTTACGGTTCCTGGTGCCCGGGATGAACTCTCCCTTTTTGGAGATCTGAATGCGGGCTCCCGTCAGCTCCTGGTATTCCACTAGCGTCTTCCCGCCTTTTCCCAGGATGGCGCCCACCAGATTCTCGGGCACGGCGATTTCCACCACGTCCTTCGCCCCTTCTGCCAGCTTCTCGGTGGCCAAGAGGGAGCTGGCGACCAGGGGGGAGGTGGCGCTCAGGTACCCGTTGGTGGCCCCCGTGGCGGCGGCCAGCGAGCCCAGCGTGAAGCTGCCCAGGGTGCCGGCGGGGTGCCCGGCGCTGGTCGAAGCGTCGCTGGCGTAGGATGCCAGCAGGTTGGCCGCGGCCGCGGCCGCCGGGTTGGCGCTGGCGGCCACGGCGGCCAGGACACCGGAGGCGGCCGCTGGGTTGAGCCCCAAGCCCAGGGAGTTGGTGTTGTATCCGTAGCTGGCCAGGGTGTTGAGGGCAGACGTGATGGCCAGGAGGTCGTTCCCTGAGAAGCTGGACATGGTGGTGGGGAAGGCGCCCACTCCAGCCAGGCTGGCCTGGCCCAGCAGGCTGGAGGCGGTGGCGGCGGCGGCGGCGGCGGCCGCCGGCAGCACCTCCGCGGAGTTGGCGTAGGGCGAGCCGGTGGGGTTGGAGTTGGCCACGGGGCCGGAGATGTTGGAGTAGCTGATGTTGAGGCAGCTGCTGCTCTGCGGGTCCTCCTGGATCTTCTGCACGATGATCTCCACGGCCTTGCGGTTCTGCTCCGGCTCCCCGCTGATGGTGACCACGCGCTCCTGCAGGTTGATGCCCTCGGGTTTCTGCGACAGCTGCACCCAGGCCCCCGACTGCTCCATGATGGCCTTGACCGTGGCTCCCCCCTTCCCGATGATCAGCCCCGCGGTGCTGTTGGGGACTATCAGCTTCGCCTGAGGAAAAAACAAGCAGGAGGGAGAGAAAACAGAAATGTGTTACGGCACTGACCTTTCCGAAGCTCACAGATATCTCTGGGGTCTGGAGATACACGGTGAGCTGCTTTCAGACGGCCCAGGGAATGCTGGGAAAGGTTTCATTCCATTTCTGGGGCACAGGGCTTTCTTGTAATCTCCACATCTGCATGAATGCAGGAGGCCCTCGGTCAGATGGCCTAGCGAAAACCCCTCAGGCCCTTTGAAGGTAATGGGTGTTGTTTGACCAAGTCATTAAAACATGCCAACAAGGTGGACTGTCATTCTTTGAGCGCACAAACCCAGCTCATCCACAGGCCCTGAGCCACGTCATGCTGGTGTTGTGTGACTAGATCTACGTGCTTCACTTCAGCCTGTTTGTCACTCATGTCCTCACCGGTCTTGTGTTGCGATTCACTTTTTAAAGCCCTACGGCAAAAAGGAAACCTTTCTAATACTTTTAAGATAAAATTGCTCAGCTGCCTGTGGGTACATGCACGAGTAACAGCCCAGGAAACCACCCTGCCATGAAATGCAGCTTTAATCCAAACCATTCAAACAAAAGGGAGGCCATTTTCCGAGTGGAAAAATGGCAAGATGGCAGGCCGGGGAGAGAGAGAGGCCAAGAGAAGAACGCATTCACTGTGGCAAAGCAGGTGCAGTCGAACCTTTCAGAAAAGAGAAACAAAGAAAAAGAGGATTTTTCCCCTTCTTTTTAAATCCGAGCTGTGAATCACTGGATACAAAAGGGCTCTCAGTGAAAAGCATCAATTCCCAGGGGTCAGCGTTGCCGTGGAAACGCCGCTCCTGCATTCATGAGGGACTGAAAGAGACTTGGGAGCGATGCGTAGCAACAGCCCCCCAGAGCACCCCCACCACCAGCCCAGCTCTCACTCACCAGCCTTCTCCCTTCTGCCTCGGAGGCACGAGACAGAGCGCAGGAGAGACAGGCTGGGGGAGGCAGAGATTGAGGAGGGTGGAAAAAAACACAACCCAGGACTGAACAGAGACCCACAGGGGCAGGTCTCTCCGTACCCAGGTTTTACCCAGTCGAGATTTTCAGGGAATCCCATGAGGCCCAGGCTCCCTTCAAGTGTTTGGAGTGCATTCAGCAGACCTGGGTTGGCTTTACACTTCAAGAAAGAGGAAAGGAAGGAGCAGCCACCACAGTCAGAGGTGTGTGAGGCGGGGGAGGAGGGCACCCAGGAGAGGATGGACGTGAGAAGAAAGAGAGAGAGAGGAAGGACAGGGAGCAGCTTGACAGGACAGCTGAGAGAATGAGGGAGGCATCTGCACCCTGGCCTCCATTTAACTCCGGGAACAAGCTCGCCTCCTGGTTTGTCAGGGTTCGCAGCAAGAAAAACACAGGCATTCCTCTGGCCGCCTGGTCAAGGTGTGCTGCTTTCGCTGTGCAGCCCCCACTTCCAGCTTCCTGCTCGGTGATTTCAAGTCAGCACGAGGAGGGACTCTGTGTTGGGAGAGTGGCAGGAGCTGTTTGCCCGTGAGAGGGCCTGGCCGAATCTTGATCTGAGAGTGTGGCCGGCCTACGGGCACCGAGGTTTGAAGCCGAATGCCAGCAGCACTGTTGTCCTTCTCGTGGGCGCGCAGATAAGGGGGTACGCAGACCTTAATAATCCCTCATGTTTCCCAGCCGGGGAGAGTGGCGAAGCAGTTGGGAATGCGAGCGAAGGGGGTGGCGAACGGGAGGAGGTGCAAGCCGGAGGCGGAGAGAGAGGAAGAGGGATCCATCTTTCTCGGCACAGCCTGGCTCCCCGGCGCTGTGGCAGCTCGCTCCCCTGTATCCACCTCCCGTTCCCCGCGGAATCGGCCCGCTGGGATGACAGCTTGGCAGGAGAGCGGGGCACTGCTGTTTCCGGCTGTCTGGCTACAGGAGACAGGAGACCTTGTCATGCAATTCTTTTACCAAGACTTAGCAATAAAAAATAGAACGGACAGATCTTCCTCCCTCTCCAGCAGAAACGTCTATTACAGGGAGGTAAGAGGATGCTTAGAAATGTTTCTGCAGCAGCTGCAGGTTCATCAGGTGATCACCCCCAGTCCCTCACTAACTGAAGGCGGTGGAATAGTGCATTCTCTCCACTAAAGGTCTGTCTGATCAGTGGGCAAGGCCTTGGGAGGATGGGAAATATTTTGGTTTGAAATGCTGCAGACTGGAGACCCGGAGGAAGTTCTTTGCATTAACAGTTGCACTCAGCCTCACCTTAACTCAAAGCCTAACTCGAACCCGAACCCAAGCCCAAACCCTAGCTCCAGCCTTAACCTCATGTCCCGAGCCTTTTACCTGAACCTCAGCTCCATCTGTAACCCTCACCTTAAGCACCTGTTGGCAGGTGACCATAAAGCCCTCTGCATGGAAATGCTTCTAGTGGTCCCCTTATCTTCAATTATTAAGTTATAAGGGCACAGACATTTGATTCTGTTTGCATAATTTCCAAAGGGAAGTACAATTTTAATGATTATGTTGAAGATAGCTGTGGTAATAAATGGATTTATTCATTTTTTTTTGTCTACAGGGTAAGATTTTCAAGCTTCTACGTCTTTCCAATCAGCAGCTGAAAGGGAGAATAGAGCTGTGTCGACAGATAGGGCTGTAATTCTGCTGAATTCCTGCTGCTGACACCAGAGAAAGGGAGAGGGAAAATCCTGCAGTGTCATCAGCTCTGCGGGGCAGGACAGGCAGCCCTTGAGGGAGTGTGGGACAGAATGAGCTTGAACACTCGGCCAGCGTTCATTTTATCATTAACAGAGCTCGTCTATTTTATATGCTGAGGGACAGAAAGTGAGAAATGCAACAGAGGAGACCTGGACCCACCAGTATTTCTTATGTTTAAATGCCTCTGTGAAGGCAAGGAGCAGTAGATCCACTGGAGAGTGACATGGTGCAGTACGTGTATTTGGCTCTGTTCCTCGTGCATGGCACTTTAACTGGAACTGTTGTCCACAGCGGCTCGTTTATGAGTCTGCCCTCGGCTGTCCACCGCGCGGAAGACCAGATACTGATTTCATCATTTGTCATTTTGATTTAAAACGTCTTGAGCAGTGGATGGTAACCCCCTGGAAACCAGTCTGTGACTCCAAAAGTGGTTGTTTTCTGTCTGACGAAGATGATGGCCGGCGACGGGCATGTTTCATCCCTGGTATGTCTGATGAGATTGGCGACTTGTCTTCACACAAGAGGCTGTGATTCAGGACAATAACGGTCACAGATGCGTTCCCTACTTGTGCAACTGTTGACCAGCTTAGACCTGAAATTGGACTTGGGCTTAGAGCACAAACATTTGCGCTTTGATGTCTTAAGCACCAGACTTTAGTTTAATCACTGGCCTGCCAATCCCCTGGCTTAGCTCCCTATCTCACGGATCTCTGTGGGGGTTATTTCAGATGCTGGGAAACAGGGGTTAAAAATAACCTGATGTTCTCTGGCAGCGCTGTCGTCTTTGAGGACAGTGAACGAGCAAGAGTTAGATTGGAGCTCATGTCCTCTGTTTCGTCAGTGGAGCGATGCAGAAGTAACGCACAGCTGCTGGAATACAGAAGGTTCTCAGAGACTCTTTACATTCTTACTTAACTTACTTTTACTTTACTTAACTGGTTCTGTTCTGTACCCCTCTGCCCCTTCTGTATTCAGTACCCCCAGCTACTGTCTCCTCTCATTGTGCATGTATTGTGTTTTTTTATTATTGTTGTTGTTCTGTAAAGTGCCTTGAAGAGCCACCTTTAAAGGCAC